ATTTTTAAAAAAATTAAAAATTCTGTTATTTTATGAGTCCACATATCATAATTATCTTTAAAATGAGTCAACTTTTAAGGAAAGGGTCAACATTATTTTAATTTATGCATAAAGTGTAGGTTTTTATGAGATGACAAGCAGAACAGTGTTGTAGGGCCTAAAGTGCACATCTGAAAAAGAAAATAACTATTATCAATAACAATTATGTATAGTTAGTCCAGTCAATCTGTGACAAAATTATACTGAACAAAGAACTAATTGCAACAGAAACCATTTTTGTGTAATCTGTTCTTAAAATATAACTCAAATTTCTATAAAATCTAATATTTATTTTTGTGTTCCATCCACCAACCCTTCCAGGCTGTAATTGATATCCAGGTGGCTGGCATGAGAGCTCTGGAATTTGAGTCTAAAAGCACAAGTCTCATCACGCTAGACATGCAAGACTATTGGTATCTTTGCAAAAATGCATGGGGTGGGTATTTGCAGTATATCATGACAATTATAGGCTGATCAACCAACCCAGAATTAAATGTCACTTACATTTTTAAATTACATCTATCTTAAATCCATTGTATTTTAATTAACAACTTTTTAGTTAACTTTCCCTTTTTTCACATTTGCATTCTTACAATGTAATCTCTTCTTAAAATATAAAATTGGAGAAAGAGAGAGAGAGAGAGAGGGGGGGGGGAGAAAGGAAATTATAAATAAATAAACAAAAAAGTTATTTGTTGGCCATCTAATAAACATTCTTTGTTTAAATTTCTTTATGTCTTTATTTTTCTACTGGAGGTGTGAAAATGCATTTAATATTTAAAGTTAGAGTATTTTTTCCCTTCACTAATTATCTGCATTAATAAATGCAAGTAAACAAACACATAAGAGCTTCCAACATACCTGCAACAGCCAACAGTTTAGCATCTTCAATGTAATCTGGGTCCAGGTCTGTCAGTGGTTCTTGTTTCTCTTTGTGCTTCTGGAAAGTAAATGTAAAAATATGACAACTTTATTCTAAAAGGGAAATAAACGTGTATAAGAGACAGAAAGGGAAATAAACAGGGGAAGAGAGTCAATAAAAAAAAAATAAAATTTTATTTGTAAATTAATTAAAATTTAAATTGTTATAATTTAGTTAATTGTTAAAATGTAAACTAAATAATTAAATAATAATCAATTAATAATAATAATAATTAATCAATTAAATAAGTAAATAATAATATTTAATATAAATTAATGTTAAATGTAATGTTGGTATTGTAGTAATACATAGAGGGTAATTACCACGGATGCTGAGAAATAGTGTTGACTATCAATTACTGAAGGGTTGTTCTTATTGGCATTATTCATGTCTTACTTTCAAGCGGTTATCAAGATCATTCTTATACACATCTAGATGTGTATAAGAGACAGGCATTATTCATGTCTTACTTTCAAGCGGTTATCAAGATCATTTTTCACAGCAGGAAATTAGTAGACAAACTCCAGGAGCTGCTTTTACCACTTCATGTGGGGACAACAAACATCATTCTTCAGTTCTCGTGTTCATCATGTAGCTTCATATGACAGGTAAGATTTGATTTCACAGTGAACAAATGATGCACTCATGATCCACATCACCTTCCATTCTCACCTGGAAGGAAAAGGAAGAAATGCACACGTAAAATTATTAGTCTTAGTATTACACTCAAGGTAACATAATATATTCATCAGTTTGTTTTATAACATGATCATTAAATTCATATATTAAAGTGATGCTGCTTCAGACACCCAAGGACCAA